GGGGAGGTGTGTCATTATAAAAGATTTCCTCACGAAAATGCAGAAAGTTTATTGTTAAAAGAGGAATACTTACTGCTGTGAGTAAATCGGATACATAAAATGACATGCATCTGAGATGGACGGGTACCAGGAAAAGGTGACAGAGCGAATGTTCTCAGGAATAAGCCACCGACGTACGTTCAAGAGCACGTAAAAGAGATATTCTTTTTTTTCTCTCTCTTTTATTTCCTTTTTTTTTGCGAAAACGCGTAGTTTTTATTTTCCGTCCGCAATACTTGCGTTTGTCTTATAAAGAGATTACATTACAAAACACACGAGGTTCTTGCACGATTATTTCGTACATCAGCGCCACATTTATTCGCCCCTTCCCCTTTCTCTTCTTCTCTCTTGATTCTGTTTTCTCCCTTCCGCATATCTACAACGTCGTCATTTACGACGTTCCATCCGGAGTGATCCTCTCCTTCTCGCGATCGCGCACTTCCAAGAAGCTTCCTCTCCGACCAGCTACGTTCTCTTCCTGTTCATTAATAAGATACGGGTATAGCCGCTTTCGTGGGACTCCAGACATACTCCGAACGCAATCGCGGAATACGCGTCTCCTTCCCGACGATCGTCCTCGAAAGCCACGCGTACGTTTCCAAGGACGTTTCTCAGCGAGTCCGAGATCGTCTTCGCATCTCTTCTCGCAGCATGCTCATCAATAACGTCATGGAACTTCCGGCGATCTTTCTGAAGTATGAAGAGGATGCCAGAGTATGAAGAGGAGCCTGAGAAGCATTGATCAACGATCGAGATAGGGATTTGAGCATGCCACATTATCGACGCGTATCTTGCGGCGATACTGTTCGGGAAGACTCGAGGACGATCGAGGAGACATTCGTTTGGGTTCGAGCCCGATCTTCTCGCCGAGCAGCCGCCGGAAAAGTAAAAGGCCCTTGGACAATGTCGCCGTCGCAATCCTCATCATATCCTAGAGTATCTGGAAGAGCTTCTTCAGTTCTACCATGAGTTGCCAATCGGTCTTCAGTAGGTCATCCCTGAAGTAATCCTTACAGGCGTCTATACTCTGTCTGCTTATCTGTAACAATTTGAGAAATGGCGCTTCCATTATCAGGTAATAAAATGTGTGACAACTATAAAGGTTGCTCGTAAACAATCGTCCGTAAACAAAACAATAAAAAAATCCTCTTCCGCTCTAATTGTAAGATAAAACGTAAAGATAAAACGAGAATCTGTATGTTTTATCTCGCATATTTATCTTCAACTCAAAAAAATACCTACTCTAATTTTACATTATAATTTCTTTCCACAAGTCTATAAATTTCAACAAGTAAATTTTTAAACAACAATTACGGTAAACGTTCCAATGACTGGATATGTATCTATGTTCTATCTATTTAGACATTTATTCCAAGTTTATTATTATTAATTTCAAATTATTATTAATCTTTTTTTATTACAATATTACAATTTAATTGTATTTAAAGATTAAAATTAAAATTATAATATTTTATATTTAAAAAAACATTTGCGATTAATAATGATATAAACAAATAAAGGTTTGTATTAATATCCTGTTATAGCTCACTGGGACTTTATCTTATCTATAATAGTAAATAATAAAATGAAAGAGATATAAATGGTATGATATAAGAGGAAAACAAGAGAAGATTGATCTCTAAGATTTTCTCTTAATATCTTAAAGTTAAATCAAGTCCAAGGATCGATCAAGGATACGAATAATATAATCAGACGATCAGATCGGATAATCCGAGCGTGAGGACTCGAGAGTAGACTGACATCATTCATCTACGATGTCGAGGCTCGAGGGGGGAAAAAAATCTAGCGTCACATGTTACACGTTCGAATGACGCAACTTGTAACGGAAACACAGGCGTCATTCGTGTGACGTAGCATGCTAGAACGATCTGTTAAAAGCGAAATCTCAATAACGGATAATGCGGCAACCTCACCGGTCGTTTTGCAAACCGCGTACGTTTCTCGAAACGCGTAGTGTCGTGGCCAATTTTCACGTGATGCTTTTCGCAAATAGAGGAACCCGTGTTGTGTGCGTGAGTGTGCGCTCGCGCGCGCGCGCACGACGGACCATTCGGAAACGTAACGCTTCACAACTGTTTCCGCCCCCACTCTCGGCCGGAAGTCCCGTTTCATTCATGGATCGGTCACAATGGTGGTTTTACGCGGCTATTGAGGACGCCTGCCTCCCGCCACGCCCCTTCTAGCTTCCCTTGCTCCTCGCCGCTTCTCGTCCTCTCATTCTCTCTCTCATTCTCTCTCTCATTCTCTCTCTCTCTCTCTCTCTCTCTGTTTCATTCTCGCCCCCCACGTGTTTCCCTCCCTTCCTCTTACGTTCGTATTACCGCTCGTAAAGTACGCGGAACGTTGAATATACAATAGTTCGTGGTAATCATAAAAAATTTCACCGACGGTGCAAAGCGCAGAACTAATTTGAAAGTTTAAGTTTTTCGCGCGAAGCTCGCGATCACGATTATGCGTCTCGGATGTTATTATGCAATTTCGGTCTGCGTGACGAACGTGCGATAAAATCGCGCGGATCGTGCCATATCGATCGATCCGAGATATCGTCTTCTTCGTAGAATTTTTACCGATTTCTTTACATTCGCGAGAATAGTATATTCAATCGCAATTTATATGTGATCCACTTTTCTCTTTCCACTACTCCAAGAAACAGACTATTTCCGTGATCGGATAAATAAACGCATCTCTGAAAAGTGGCGGCGAGAAATATTGTATTCGTATGCTTACAATATAAGTGAAGCGAATCCCTTGGCCGAAAGTAGAAGCGAAAATATTTGTTTGAAATTAAATATTTTACTTATTATAATTTTCAAAAGTATTTATTTGTAAGTGTGTTGAATAGAATTATTTATTTGTATTTAAAAGTATTTTTTCTTACACTTCGAAATATTTATCATACCAAAATAAATAACTGAGCTAACACAATGATATAAAACTTGTACTTTATGCTGTTTATATTTTTTCACAGATTTTATACAGCTTCTTGCTTACATAGGAGCAAAACTGATCTTTAAAACGGAAAAAATACTCCGATAAAAAAACATGTACGTTTGTAGTAAAAACTAAATGTTTGCTCTCGGTTCATTTTATTCTCGTGTCTCCCTTCGTATCTTTCGGAGGTAGGTATTTTCTTGGCGTTAGAAAGGCGTTGAAAAGCAAAAGCGTTCGCTCTATTTCGCCCGTATGAGCCGACGTGTCGACGGATCAGCGGCTTCGGGAGAATCGTCGTGGGAACAAGATACTTCCGGAACTGATTCCACGAACCAAACGGTAACGACGACTTCCGCTTGTCTACCAAAGCACAGAAAAATGCTTGAAGCACGACGATATAGAAGAGGTTTGTGGAAGAGAGAAGGAGAAGCGTGTAAAGAAGAGGGTACAGAGGGAGAAAAAGGAGGAAAGAATGAAGATGAACGTCGGTTTGTATGAAGAAAAGGCATCAGGTACCGTTTCTCACAGGGTGAGAAGAAGAAGAAGCATACGAAACATCCGTCTTAATTAACGATCTTTACATACATTTCCACGAGAATAATGTAACGACGGAGTAATTGAAACTTAATCTATTTAGTCCCATTTTAGTCCTTCATTAACCCTTTCCGCTTACTCGACACGTGCATATTAGGGTTTTTATTTATAATTCATTCTTCTATATCTAATCTGGATTCTCGTAACTATATATTTACAGAAAAACAAATTTTTATTTTTGCTTCTATTTTTCCAATGTTGTTTATTATTATTATTATTATCTATACAATACACTTAAATATCTGCATTTGCTTTGTTTAAGAGAGACGTCTTGTGTCTCGCATTAATTCTCCCGTCAGCTCTTTTAAAGTCCACGACATGAGAATACGATTGTAATTAATATAGTAATCACCCAAGTAAAGAATTATTTGCACGTGTGAGCAAAGTATGCTTTGGAATGAAATATCTGAGCAACGCAGGACCGAACTCGTCCTATAGTCGATATCCTCGCCTGGAGGAAGACGAAAAAGGAAGAAGAATGAAAAATGGAGGGAGAAGGGAAAGGGAAACGCGGAGGGGAAAAGGTAGCGAGCTTCTACGAAGGCCGGAAGCCGACGGCGGACGAGCGATCGCCGCCGGATGTTCATCTTCCTTTTTCGATCTAGGTCTCGCATACTAAGTCGAATTTGCGTCAAGGCGAAAATGCGCTTCTCAGTTTCGCGTAGTCTAGCGCGAGTAAAATAGTATATAATTTAACAGGCTAATTATGAAATCGCCGAGCTCAAAACTAATCGATTGGATTATATATAGTTATATATTCAATATTCAATTATAATAAATTTAGCGTAAAATTATAAATGTATTTTGATTTTGAAATAATAGAACCTGAAATTGATCAATATAGATACAATTGCAAAACTATATCTAAACTATCAGTTATAGTTAAACAAAAATCTGTCGATATTCATTCTATTTGCTGTTTAATTTTGAAAATTAAAATTTTTTTTCCTCTTGATTTAATTTATCTCTGCGTAATTTATTTCTGCTTTCAAACAGAGCTAAGATGATAAATTAGTGTACTTACCTTGCTGACAAGAAAGTCTTTCGCCTCAAAATGACGACCGAACATCTTGGGTGCTTCTCCAGGTACAGGCTCGATTTTGATGCAGACTTCTTGACCTTTCCTAGCCGATTCCACGGATTTATGATTATATTCTATACTAGTTACCATGCCCAAGTCGACAAACTGAAACGATAGATTAACATATTAATCAATTAGAGAAATAGCACATAATATATTTTGCAATGAAAAGGAATGTAACGTTCGCCATGAGTGAATGATAATCGTCTACGTGTTACATATATATATATAGGATATGATTTGTCCCACGTAATAAGTATTTAATTAATTCATAAGAATATATTATACGCCTAGAGAACAAACTCTGAAAAATTTCAGATTTTAAAGAATGATTTCACTAATACAAAGATTTCGCTGATTCAGAAATGTTTATTTTCAAATTCTGTATTAATATCTCGGTGGATTGTAAACTTATTGCAATTTGGAAATACTGATCAATTAAAGATACTGAGAATATTTAATATAAAATTGCAATGGGTGAATTTAAATTGCATTATTGCCTGCAACAATCGAAGTATACAGAAGAAAGAATAACATCAGGGACATGAAATATTTAAGGAGGAATAGTAAAATCGCCTTAACATTGCAAAAATTTCGAATAGGAATATGTTATAGAACTGTTATATCTATATCGATGATCAAATCGCAAGTTTAAAACATAATTTTTATTTGAGTCTATATATATATTCATTATTTTATTTTCAGGTTTATGAACGGAACGAAACGCGATCAAAAGTCAAAAAGATCAGGGATTTGTCTATCGTAGTTTTTTCCAAGCCCATAGTAACGATACCATATTCGTTCGCGTTTACGTTCGCTTGATTTAGCGTCGTGGAGGATGCCCAAATGGGATTTAACAGCGAGACAGGTCTATCCCATGAACGAAGCTTCGGTATAGTAGCGCGACTTTCTGTAGGTCTTCTTTCTTTTTCTGCCATCGATCGTCGGCGTCTGGTCGCGTGGGTATAACTCCGCCTAGGCACACCTTTACCGCGACCGGAAGTCGAGACAGCCGAGTATATACCTGAGCCGAGCTGTTCCGTGCCGTGCCGTGCCGTGTCGAGAGAGCCGAGCCTGCCTCGCAACCGAGTCCGAGACGTGGGTACGCATTTTCGTCGTGAATACCGGCGAGAATCGGTGAACCAAGTAGGTAGGCAGGCAGGCAGATACCCGCATATACGTAGGCCGGCACGCAGTAGGTTGGTCGTAGACAGATCCACCGGGTGTCCGCAAATATCCATATCGCGAATGAAAATTTACGGAAAAAAAAAAACGATCAGCTGCCACAGCTAAAAATTAAGTTTGGCAGCTAATTCAGTAACATTATATGGACATCTAACGTCGTGTCTGCGAAGTCTAATTTCCATTAACTGTGAGGCCTAAATATTATCGTTGTAACAGACAAGCATTTTGCTATTATTGATCCTCGCAGTAAACGTTTTCTGTGTAGTAGACAATTTGGTAGCAAGTACAGTTTCAGCAAATCATTTAGCTGTAATAGAAACAATTTTCTTTTACGGATACATATCTGATAACTATGACAACTAATTTCATGTTGCTAAATAAATTGATCTGTAATAGACATGCCTACTTTGCTATCACGTTCTTATAGCTACAACAGCAAATTATCTGTATGTATTAACAAATTTCATAGCTATAGTAGCTAATACAATTTCAGTTAATTTCAGAATTAGCTGTACATTTTTTTTCCGTGTTGAATTAGAAGTCGTTGATCTTCCAGTCAAGATTTCAACTTTGATTATTCTGTACTGTCGCAGCAATATGCGAAGTATATCGAAGAAAATATCTAGGAGACGGCCTTTCTCTCTCTCTCTCTCTCTCTCTCTCTCTCTCTCTCTCTCTCTCTCTTCCTCTCTCCGGAAATAATAACATTATTATTAGTGATTCTAGCTTGACTGTAATTTCGATCACTTCGATTCACGCAAATTAGAGATTGCAATCATAAATACGGATGCAATCCATCACATTATGTTTTATATGGAAAAAAGAAGAAAACTGGATGTTTTTTCCGAAGAGTTGATTCTAATGTCGATTCATAGGAAACTCGGAGCTTTTCAGCAGACGCCGTTAGACGGCTGCACACCGTAGGTTTATTGAATCTCGAGACACGCTGTATAACGGTGTGTACAGGCGAAAAAGCCCCGAGCACGTTGCTCCGCTGCTGCGACACACCTGTGGCTGCAGGAGCGCAAAAGTAGGCGATAAACCCGGACGCGGTTCAGGATTTACAAGAGCGCCTGGCTGTGATTAAAAAAATCCATTTGCAATGCCGTCGGTTTCTTCGTGGGTGCACCGGGGGTGCACATATAATTGCGCATAATCAGAAACCTACATCCACCTATGTTTATTATTGTACGATATCGAAGATAAAATACCTGAGTATAAAACAAAAAAGAATCTGATTATCAAATATTGAGTGAAATAATTTCAGATAACATAACTAAACTGAACATAATTTTACCTTTATAAATATTTAATAAGTATTATTGAATGGTATTACTTATTAAATATTCAGAAAGATAAAATTGTTGGATAAAATGTTTGGAAAATTGTTATATTTGGAAAATTATTCCATTCAACATTTGATAGTTACAACTAGACTTTTTTTTTCCGTATGTATATACGGATTCTGGCGTTTGAAATACGAAATCTATACACTCTCGATACGCTTGAAACACGATAGATCTATACATTCTCGAGTTGCGAAAAACGTAGGAAACGCATTCGCGTATGGAAACGCAGTATCAAATAATCTTAGAAAAATGCGCACGCACATTGCAAAAGAAAAAAAAAAGTATATATCCGTTGAAGAGCGAGCAGTGAGGATGCGAAAGAGAGATGACATGAATTTATCTCAAACAGTAGACCGCGAGAGGTAAGGACCTTGGCTCCATTATCTCTCTATGTACTGTTTCAATATTTATCTCGTATCCAAACTGCGTTAATTGCATATGTACTCAAGGTGTTATGGTAGTGGGAGGAAGCTATTCTGCGAGTGCGAATACTTTGGTTCGTAAGATATTGAGAGGCATATTATGAAGATAATGATAATGATAACCTCGAGAACTTCTTTCTTTCCTCGATTATATTACAATAAAAACAGTGATATCGAGTTTGAACAATGAAAAGTGATACAGATCGCGAGTCGCAACGCAGACTTATACAGAAAGCTACGTTATCGTTAGGTGGACAATGACCGGTCGAATATGCCCGCCCATTTATCCCGAAACCCACGCCAAGAGAGCAATACTTGGGCTGGACGCTCAAGCCACCCGGTATCGCCGCCTAGTCAATGACCAATAACTGAGGCATTGCTTCTCAACCCTTTCTTGAACGATGGAACGTTGTGATTGCAAACCTCGTAAAATAGCAATAAAGAAATAGGTAAGAAATCCTCGATTTATTCTTAATTTTTTATGATTATTTTTTTTAACCTCTACCACAATTTTCCATTCCAGATAAAAAAATAAATTTTAGAATTACAGATATTTAAAATATTTAGATTAATCTATATTTGATTAAAATTTTTTGTGATATCTAATGATTTAATTAGATATTTAAAAAAACATCAGATCAATCGTTGTTTGAAATCAATTTATGTCTTCGATTAATTATTCAGATATAGAATAATATATATACATATAAGTAATATACATGTACATATAAATTAGAAAACTAATTTATTTATAAATATACTTATGAATATTATTAAGCTTACTTTATGCGATCTATAATTCATGACAGAATTCTATTTATAATTTTTTATATCAAGTTATAAATACAATTATAGATGAGAAAAATTTTTATTATACCATTTAATTTATAATTTAATTTACAATTATGTACAGAATATTTAATTATTTTTCATTGCTATGATTAGGTTATTAAGAAATGACAATGACGTATAGTTACTGAGAAATACATATAATATTATAAAAGTTATATAATAAAATTATATCGTATTATGGAGAATTCTCTAATTATATCAGCATTATAATTTCAATAATATTCATAAATTATAGCCGCTCGTAGAAATAAATGTAACTTCATAAATATAAAAGAAATATTTGGTACAAATTATTGCATATTAGACAAGAGTAAAATATGTTATATAATAAATCTCTATTTGAGGATCCGATAGCATATGAAAGAAAAAAAGGAATGGTTAGCTTTATACAACGATACAAAATACAGAAGATAATATGTAAAACACGAAATCACTCATTTTATAAATTTATTTAAATATAATGTTTAATTTACAATTTTATCTTTCAACATTTTATCTTTCAAAATTTTATCTTTCAACATTTTCATATCGCTCATTTAATAAAACTATAATATAACTCAGGAAAAAAAAACAGAAATTTTAAGGAAAAAAGAAAGAACATATTTTTATTGCTTTACAATTAGTTATGACACCAAAATTGCCTTTCAAAATTAGTATTATTATATACAGAATTTTAATGATTCAAAATATTGAAATTAATTTATGGACAACTTTTTTTTTTTTCTTAAATTAATTTCATTCATTATTACAGCAAAGCGATATGTCGTAATGTTTTATTTTATGGATTTATCTGAAAACAATATTTCGTTTAAATTTAAAATTAAATTTAAAATATCTTCAGTATTTTCATATATTGTAATGTCTTTTATCTTTTTTAACTTTAAACCGAGAAATTTAATTCTGTAAGAATTTTTTTTTAATACATCTGCACGAGCATGTACAATTAGTAGATTTTATCACGTATAGGTAAGGATATTTTTTTATATTCAGTTAACAAATAAGTAACTTGTTCCTGAGACCAAGACATCGTCACATGTGTTTTTTTCTTCTTTTTTTCTGTGCATAAATTATTGATATCTACGTAAGATTAAATTGTAATTTATATATAGATAAGAGTTATTTGCTTATCCAATTGGACACGATTGTATTCGCGCTTATAGATTTTCAATTTTCTTTACACTAGATATGATTAACTAATCACTGGTATTTTTGTGTATTTGACGCGTCTCCTATATTTATAAAAATAAAACATTATAGTTATAATTCTGATTATTCACATGTTTTTGTTACACAATGC